GTGTGTGTGTGTGTGTGTGTGTGTGTTTGTCTGCCATGGCCCCAGACAGGCTTTTGTCAAAGTGGTACACGGGTGGCGACACACAGCAGCTGACAGGAGGACATGACTCAGGAGGCTGTTTAGGGAGGCCACAGGAATGTAGTGACCCTCAGAGGAACGTGTGTGTGTGTGTGTGTGTGTGTGTGTGTGTGTGAAGGTTTGATGTTTTAGTTCTGTTTCATCCAATCAACACTCTGAACGGTGTGGGAGCCTGGGCTGTAGCAGGTGTAGGATTGTGTGTCTTTTGTTGTCGTTCACTCTGCAGGTGCAAGGTCACATCTGAGGAGGCATCAGGGCCCAAACACACGGCTCATTATCAGGGCAGACGCTGCACTCAGAAATGTTTCTCAGCCCTGATACAAACTGAAGTTGATAAAAAGCTCTTTATGACTGACTTGTATCTTTTTCTCTGCCTGCTGTTTTGCAGATGGTGCTGCTGGCCCGCTGTGAGGGCCACTGCAGCCACACCACCCGCTCCGATCCCCTCATCTCCTTCAGCTCGGTCCTCAAACAGCCCTTCAAGAGCTCCTGCTCCTGCTGCCGGCCACACACCTCCAAGCTGAAGGCGGTGAGGCTGCGCTGCAGCGGCGGCACTCGCATCACGGCCACTTACAGATACATACTGGCCTGCAACTGTGAGGAGTGCAGCTGAGCACACAGCAGCTCCCTCCCCCACCCTCAAGACTCTCAGCATCCAACATTGTTCTTGGCGTGGGACCGTTGGCTCAGTCAGCTGCCCCAAAGATGGGTTACAGCACTGTGGGGGTGCAGGTTTGAAGGAATCAGACCCAGATCCAACATGTTATACCCTCTCYGTTATGTCTGCTTTCAATCATGGCAGTTCATGTAAAACATACCTCTGAGGCCAGCTCGAGACCCTCCTTGCCCCAGAGACCCTCTGCACTCATAGTAGGCCTCTGTAATTTATGACACACACGCTCACAACATGCAGCCTAATGCAAGTATCTGTGACAACATTTCCCATCTCCATGAAAAACCATCATGCGTTTAGCAACAAAACAACACGCCTCGTTAAAAAGCAGCATGGGAAAGAATGAGGCCTGTGCCAGAACCAGGGGGGTCAGCATGAGCCCAAGAACATGATGGAACTGCAGGATAGAGGAGCACCTGCRCCATTACTCACCCATTTTACACACTCCCTGTAGACGTTCAGCTASATGTGTAAAATGCAAGCAGTGCTGACAGGAGAACTCATCAAGTGCACAATAAACGGTAATAAGAGCCTTGAGGATAAAAACATGACCGAGGATGAAGGTGTGACCAGTCTCCGGGTGATGCTGTGGACTGGAACCAGACTGTCAATCATTTCAATGTTTTTTAGGGCCCAAGCACTGTGAAACAGTGGGAGCCCCAATTGTGTTTGACCTGATTATTATTTTATTTTTCTTCTGCCAACCAGACGCTTTTTTTGATTTGATTTGATTT